ACACACTGGGGGCAGTTGGGGGGGTAGGGGAGAGACAGCGGGGGGTGAGGAGGGAGGGGAGGGTCGGGAGGGATAACATGGGGAGAAATGCCAGATATAGTATGCACCTAAAGTAAAATAAATAAATTTTTAAAAAGTAAAATAAATAAATTAAAAAAAGAGAGAAATCACTTGGATGGAAATCAAGGAGAGGAAAGGGCTGATGTAGATGGCTGGGAAGAGGTTCATGGTTACCTTGGCAACCGAGCTTCCTTCCTCATCCCCATCCCTTCTTGTTCTTAAAAAGATTTCCTTTCTGGATGGGCTCGGTGGCTCACGCCTGTAATCTCAGCACTTTGGGAGGCCAAGGCGTGTGGATCACCTGAGGTCGGGCGTTCGAGACTAGCCTGGTCAACACAGAGAAACCCAATCTCTAGTAAAAAATACAAAAATTAGCCAGGTGTGGTGGCGGATGCCTGTAATCCCAGCTACTAAGGAGGCTGAGACAGGAGAATCGCTTGAACCCAGGAGGCAGAGGTTGCAGTGAGCCGAGATCGCGCCATTGCACTCCAGCCTGGGCAACAAGAGTGAAACTCCATCTCAAACCAAAAAAAAAAAGAAAAAAAAAAAAAAAGATTTTCTTTGTAATGTCCCTTCGCCTCCACGAGGGGGCACAAGATGTCTTAAAATACTCTTCGGGGCATCACTTAACCTAGATCAATCCAGACGTGCATATTTCCAGTATCATTTACTCTGAAGTGGAAAATCTGAGACGTAGACACAAAGTGATCAAGAACATATGGAATCATGTCCAAGGGTCTCTATTGCACTTTAAGGATCAACTATGTATTTAGCAGCTATTGTGTGTTGGACACAGTGAGCCATTTGGGGGATTTAAAAGAAAAATAAAATATACTCAAGATGGTGTTGGACATAGTCATAGCATGATTTAGTCATAGCACTTGATTTTTTGAGTCTAAATTTGCTAGTTGTTATGAACTTGACCTAGTTATTTAGTCTTACTAGCTTTCAAGTTTTTCCTCACCTATAAAATGTGCCTCACTGAATTGTTAAGTGTGTTAAATGAGATGCTGTTTATAAAGCTCTACTACAAACTCTAATTTTCAATAGGCATTATTTTCCTCCCCTTAAGCTTACAAGATTATTTTCACTACAACTTACCCAAGAGAAAAACTTATTTAAAAAATTTTAAATCATAAACTACAGAAATATAATAAATATTAATATTTAAAATGCTAAACATGTTTGGATGGCAAAACCATGAAACTAGAACCCTCTGCTCTGCCTATTCAGATGCTGATCACTGGTCTTTTCTCTAGGGCTTTTTGCAGCTTCAGAATCCTTCTTAATAGAGGAATGTCTCAGGCCATCACCACTAGTCAAGTGGAGTCGGTAGAGATTTGAGGCGGATTTTTTCCTTCTTGTAACATACTGCAAACATTCTGGAAAACTTCACAAAGGACATACAATTTTAGCTAGGTTTAGCGCTTTAGAAGGCTAATAGTTACGTAAGCCAAAGGACGTTGCAAGCAAGAGAGTCAGTTTGTATAGAAATGTGCAGGTTTATGTGAATGTTGTAGGTTCTAGAGAATCTGAAAACAAACAGACAAAAAAAGTCCTGATCATTGCAGAGAGCATCCTGGAGACAGCTGGGCATTGAAGGAGAGGCTTGAAAACCACCTAAATTCACCAAAACAAGTTAACAGCCTCTGTGTTATCTGCCCCTATTCATGCATGATTGTTCACTCCTATAACTGTTACTAACTAGGACTCAGAAGCCCACAGTCATTATAGTTCCAGGGGACAAAGGAAAGCACTTTAGGATGGCCGGTCCTGCTCAGACATGCTGTCTCTTGCCAGGAATTCATCAAACTTACTTGCCTCTTTAATCAGACGAGGCTGTCTCTTTTCTAGGAGAGCTTCCAGGATTTTGATCTGATTTTGAGGATGTGCCAGGATGACTATTTCCATGCATCTCATTCCCTGGTCACTTGCACATGGAAGATTCAGGGCCACATGCTGGTGACCAGAGACACTGTCCCCAAGATGCTTCACATAGACCTCAGCCACCCATGGAGCTTATAAGGAGATACCCTTATAAGCTTCTTGGGTGCTTATACCCTTATAAGCTCCCTCTGAATAGACCTCAGCCACCCATGGGACTTATAGGGAGTCACCCTGGGGCCTCTGGACAGCTTGAGGAAGATGAGGAATGCCCAGGGTTGGGAAGCTGGTAACACTAAAATTAGGCTACTTCTTATTTTTGCCCAGAATTCTGTGGTTTGGGATAAGAATGCTACAACCCCTTGAGCTCCTGCAGAGCAGCCTTGACCTATTACATTCCTGGTCATTTCCTACTCCCCTGGGGGTTTCTGTCTCTCTGGTTTTTCATTCTGTCTTGCATTATGTTCTTCTAAGATGTGTTAGAAAATATTCGTCACAAAGACCTTACAGGCTTTAGCAACCAGAGGATAGAACTGTGGGGAGCCAGTCAACGCCACGCACAGACACTGGCTCAGCCGTCCAGGGACTGTCCGTTTTGCAGTCTGTTGGTTATCTAGGGCTCCCTCTCCTGTGACACATCAGCACCTCTCATTACATGAGTGGAAGGAAGTGGGAGGACACATGTGGAGGGAGGTGGAAGGGAGCCTGGGGGGCAGGTGGGAAGAGAGAGTTGCCTGAGTGATGTGGGGCCAGCGGGATCCCAACTGGGTCACAACAGTTATGGCAGCTGTTTTTCATCCTCCACTATCTTCATGCTGCCACTGTGGCCTCTGATCTTGTGCACAACCTCCAGCAGGTGTAAAGATGTGTTGGGGGAGGGGATGCCTGCACATGGAGCTGGGATACCTAGATTCCCTTCTAGAGACCCCGTCCCCTCCCCTCTGTAGTTCTATTTCTACTGCCAGGATGCTAACCAGGAGCCCAGCTAGAAACAGCAGCATAGGTGGAGTTTGGGTGCCGGATGCGGTGAGTGTGGTTCTCGTGATGCTCTGAAGGTGGGTGGGTGGAGGGAGTGACTTTCACAGGCACCCCAGATGTAGGACCCAGTAAATGTCAAACCACATCCTGTTGTGACTCTGAGAGATGGAGCTAGGGCAGGTGGCTGTTGTGACTTGGTGCTGATGTTACTCAGAGATAAAACAGCCTGGCAACCAGCACTGGGCTCAGAACCCCAATCCCTACCCCAGTTGTCAGCTATAACCTAAAAGACCCCAACCTGAGTCTGATTACTTCCCACCTTTTGATTTCAGGGCCACTGTCCTTTTTAACACAATTTTCTTCTCATTCATGGCCCTAGACCTCTTTGCTGGAGGAGGACCAGGGAACAGGTGTCGGGCCTCCAAGTGACTCTTACTAACTGTGCCAGTGCCGTGCCGTCCCCTTCCCCTGTCAGACAGTCTGAGACCATGTCACAGAGGCGTATGATTTGAGGCCAGGAAGAACTTAGCTTCTCTGAGTTACCATCCTCTTGGTACTTCAGAGACTGCAGGCTTTCAATCACAGAATCTGAAGAGCAGAGTTTGAAGATTCTTAGAGATCACTTTACCCAATGTGCTCATATCACAGAGGAGGATGTATAAGCCCAGAGAATAAAAATGAGTTGTTCAGAGGAGGAGAACCAGAGGAGAACCAGAAGCGAACTCTCTGTGTTTTAGCAGCTCCTGGACCTCAGACAAGGTTTGGGGAATGTGGGCTCTATGTGAAGCTGTGATCTTGCTATGAATTTTATGAATCACTCGTATAAGAATAAATCAGGCAAGATGATCGTACCTGAGATGGCATGAGGATAGAGGCATAAATATAATGAAACACAGAATTAGAATCCTGCAGAATCTTGAGAGGTTGGAGAGATGAGCTGAATAAGCATGCATCGTAGAATTAAACACATTCTCTCTCTCCCTCCCCCCACCAAACAGAAAACCACCTGTATGAACACAGGAAGGGGAATAGGTGGCTAACAAGAAGTATATGTGAAAAACAACAGCATGTGAGTCAAAGTGAGCTCTGTGGGTCAGTGGGATGATGAGAGTACAGAAAGTTGAAAAATTGTCCTAATGGAACCAACTAATGTATATGATATTGAGAAAGAGGAGGCAAATTTCCCCCTTTACTCTATGTAGGTCAGAACCCACCTGGTGCTGGATCAGGTCCTGTGCAACACACTTTTAAAAGGATAGAAGGATGAAAACAAACTTTAATGTTTTCAGAAGGGAGCGGTTGGGCTATGGAAAGTAGAACGCGTTCAAAGCTGTGCCTTGTAATGAAAAAACTGAGAAAACTGGAAATGTTTAGTCTGAAAAAAATCTGCAGGCTGGTCGTAGTTATAATAGCACCTAATACTTGCTGGTATTGTTCTAAAAG